GGCGCCATTACTGAGCTGTTGCTGGGTAGTGTTGCGCCATTGCCTCCTATTGTTTTAGTTGCAACTTGCGTCCACTGGAATAAACAGCCCACGATTTACGACTGTCACTAACGTTACAACGTTAGCCCTTGTATAATGTCGAGTGGGTAAACAGTTTCCGTTATAAATTGTTTCTATGGTGGCAGTAAAATTTCAATTTTGAAGAGAAAACATTGTGAATACCGCGGGTCGACTGCCCCTGTCTGGTGCCGTACGGTTTACACAGATTTTCTGGGCGAGTACAAGACGCGGACATTCGCGTATAATAACAATTATTTAATGACATAAATAAAAAATATAATAAATATGTGATATAGTGATCAGCAAAATCTCCTCTCTTGCTATGTTTTCTATTCAATTAACATGCTATGGTCATTAAATGGCTTTCCTGAGCTAAATGTAACGTTATGTGACATAATTGTTCTCCCGCTGTTATATTGACCTCTTTCCATGGTTTAAAAACACTAATTGGTCGATATTATGTATAATAATAATAATAATAAACTTTATTACAGACTCACCGGTCCAGATAAAAAAAAAAAGACAGACAAATAAGACAATACACACAATAAAAATACATACTTCAAAGAAGACAACTATACCAATGCTTCCATAGCTTAGACACATACCGTGTAGTGCTAAATTTGATATTGGTCAAAGCCACAATTATATAATTCTCTGAGTTATTCAACCGACATATAAATTTGTACATGAAATTTCTCAATGTGGCTTGCAGGGTATTAACACCTGCCGCCACAAACATCTCACTGGCGCTACACCAGCGTGGTCTTCTCAGCAGAATTCTCAAAGCATCATTGTAAGCTACCTGAATTTTATGCAAGCTGGCTTTGCTGAAACTAAACCACAAGTGGGCAGTGTAGAGAGGAGTGCAGTAAGCTCTGAACAAAGCAACTTTCACTCTATCTGTGCATCCACCAAACTTGCGAGCCAAACTATTCGCCTGAGCATATAAAGAGCGGCATTGCCTATAAACGTCAAGGTCATCCTTCAACTGGTCTGTAATAAAATGCCCAAGATACTTATATTTGCTCAAAACTATCAAGGAATTACCTGCCAATTTAAAAGTAGGAAACATTTGACATTTATCATCCTTAGTTCTGCAAATCATCACCGCACTCTTGTCTGTATTAAATTTCATGTCATAAGCAATTCCATATTCAGAGCAAACATTAAGAAGCTGTTGAAGGCCAGCACTGCTAGGACTAAAGACAACAAGATCATCAGCGTACATGATATGATTCACTAAGGTGTTACCTATCATACACCCAGTGTTACACAGATTCAAGCAGACAGAGAGCTCATCAACATACATATTAAAAAGAAAAGGGGAGAGGATTCCACCTTGTCTGACCCCGTTCCTGACCCCAAAAGGGGCAGAAACACATTGACCCCATTTTATACACATCGACTGGTTGGCATACCAGAAGGACAGAATTCTCACAATACATTTAGAAACACCTCTCTTACTCATTTTGTCAAATAACTTATAATGATTGACACGGTCAAAAGCTTTTGAGGCATCAATAAAACTCATTAAAACTGTATACTTTCTAGCTGTAACGTTACCTTACCCTTGCCCGTTGCAATGTGAAAATGAGATAAATAATGGACACAAATGAAAAACATGAATTTGTTTATTTGATTTCATTTATTTATTTATTGTTGCCAAATGGACAGATCTTTTTATAGTTTCCTCGTTAGCAAACGTTAGCCTAGCTAGCTTGCCAAGATATTTTCATAAATAATCTGTAAGATCGTTTGTACCTTCATCTGTGACTGGAGGCCACTGTCTAACATCATCAACCCAACAAGTCATTCTGCCTGGCTGTAGCTGTCATCGAGGGTGCGTTCGCGTTATCGCTGAGGTTTGTTTACATACCGGTGCATATGTCTATGCCGGTGTAACAGCTCAGTAATGGCGTCGCCACAAGATGGCAGCCTACACAGAACGCTCGTCGGATTCGTCTATAGAGTCTATGCTGTCAGTACCGGAAAGATTAGTTCATTTAAGTCTTCGGGTTTGAATCCTTCGTTCTTTTCTCACGAGACCACTGGTCTCTCACATCAAATACAACATTAGATTCGTATTATTGACTGCGTCTGAATGTATATTGTTTTATATTTAGGTTATTAAAATACAAAATATGTTCAATAAACATTATGTGAAAAATAAAAAGTTCCATCTTATTATTGTCCCTGTCTGAATTAGTTTTTAAAAAGTTTGTGAATTAGGCTATTCAATACGGTGACAATTCACGTGACGTGACAAAAGAACGAAGTACTCAAACCCGAAGACTCAAATGAACTAATCATTCCTCTTTCCGGTGTTCTGACAGCATAGGCTCAATGGGACTGACAGGAAGAACGAAAGACTCGGACCCGGCCGAACCCCAACTCGAGAGATGAACTAATCATTTCTCTTTCTGGTACTGACAGAATAGGCTCTATGGGACTGACAGGAAGAACGAAAGACTCGGACTCGCCCCGAACCCGAACTCGAGACATGAACTAATCATTTCTGTTTCCAGTACAGATTCAGAACCCATATGTTGCGCAATGCGCATGCGCATGCGCGGGTAACACAAAATGAACCAATCACTCCCTGAGACAACTCGGTAGTCCCGAGTCATATTAAAGATTCGTTCAAAATGAACGAATCGTTCATGAACGACACAGCTCTAATTTGTAACACGCATACCATTAACCACATAACTAGATTATTATGTATTCACAAAAAAAAAATGTATATATATATATATATATATATATATATATATATATATAAACATGAGCATGCTTACTAGTCTCGCCACTGCTCCGGTGTTAAAGGTATTTGTCAGATACCCCTTTGCCATTTTGAGAGCCGGTTCGGAGCCAGTGCTTTCTCACAATCCAGTTCTTTGTGTTTCGACAGCCAAAGAACCGGTTCTCGGCCAGGAAAATTGGTTCCAAAGCGGCACCAACTATTTGCTGGACTAGAACCGTTCTTTTCCCATGTCACGCTTACGTAAGGGGCTGGGGGCAGGGTTATTGTGACCAACACCAGATCACAATCAAAAGTCATCGAAAGTGTTGGGGGTTTGAACAAATTACTAAACCAGTATGAACAAAAGTAAAAGTGATGCATGCCTTTAACCTGGCCCTAGCCAGATGAATTTCGCTCTGCCTAGCTCCACTCATCCATCTGGAACCGATCCATTGAAATGGCGTTTCAGAAGGCTGGGCCTTATCAAAAATCCTTGCATATGATTGGATAAGCCACTTGTCTGTCATCTTTATCGACGTGCTATTTCAACCACTCACACCGAAGCCAACCCGTGACGCTGATGAGAGCGACGCAGGAAAAAGCGACGCTTGCCAAATCCAGTCGGGAGAGGGGCGAAAACATCGTTTCCACCAACAAAAGCCTTCAGAGCTGTTCTCTGATGTTCTTTAAATGAAACAATATTAGGTAGATTGGACAACACGGATGAAATAGCAGCATCAATGTTAACGCTTGCTTCCTCGATGTGAGCCGCCATTGTTGTCTGAATCAAAACAGTCTCACGGTCGCTTCTCCACTACGTCACATCTATGAAACTCCCGCCCTGCGTCCTGATTGGCTAAGCCATAAAGTTGGTTGGAGAAATCACTCTCAATGGAAGTGGTTCCAGATGGATGTGAGTGAAGCTAGGCGGAGCTAAGCGGAACGACATTAATCTGGCTAGGGCCAGGTTAGCATGCCTTACAGAGTGGTCAGTAAACACTATTTCTGAGATGATCTTAGTGTCTCTTGACAAGATATACACACACAGCAGTATTGAAGTGCAATGCGATCCGGACTAATAGAGTAGTATAATATATTGATATTTTGATGCATCTCGATACTAAAATTTCTGAAACGATGTCTTTTCTACAGTAATACACCGAAACCAACTGCACATTCTCATTCTCTCTTTTTTCCGACGACAATTTGACAGTTTGACACACACTCCTCTCGCTCACTCGTCTTATTGCTCCAGTTGTATAGTGTTGGTGTTACAGGTCCTGAATTTCGGTGCAGGGTTGCAAATCTGCATTTAATTTTACTCATTCCCACAGGTTTTGTGCATAAACCAAAAGCATGCACACCACTGATCTATATAATGTAACTTATTTTGACACTTAAACAATCAAATACACAAAATTTTATCAAAATGCCCATCTTGACAAGTATGCAGGTAAACACAGTGAGATTTGGGACATAAATAATTGGGGGGAAAACAGTGTAACAGTATATTGGATCTGTTCATGAGCTCTTAAAGTTTAAGCAGCCTAATATGCTACATGTTATTAAAAAATAAAAGACAAAGAGAAAGTCACTCTTTGCTCTTGACTAAATAACTTTTGTAACTTTAATTGTAAGCATTAATCTGTATTTAATTTTTACAGTGAAGACTATGCAGTGTTATGTTAAATTTGATTACTTAATATAATTTCTGTAGTATTTCCTACCCAAATTCTACTGTGAGACCCACCTAAAAACTTAACTCTGTTTTTTTTATTTGTCGTTTTATTCTGTTATTTTTGCTATCGTTTGCAATTTATTTGTTATTATAGAAATACATAAATATGAGATAATAATAGAAAATATCTATATAGAAATACATATGGCAGTTTCCCCAGCAGTATCGAAAATGGTATCAAATATCAATATCCTTGTATCATGGAACTTACAATTTCCCCAACAGCTGCAGGCTGATACTGGCCACAACAGAGCCAATGATAGAAAGAAGAGGTTGAGAATGAAAAGATGCAGAACCAACAGATATTTAGAGTAAAGAGAGAAAATATAGAACATAATAATAGACAGAGTAAGCGAATTAGAGAGCTAAACACAAATAGAGTTGAACACTCTAACAAATCTCATCCAGAATTGATAATACAACATTTATTTTATAACAATGATATGTTAGTCAGACCTGTGTCCGGCTCCTCCACCCGGGTTTCCTGGTTCCCCATGGCTGCAACACACTGCTCCACAGAAGACACTAATCCATCAGAGCAGAGCTCGGACACACCTGACAGTGCAAACTCACTTCACAAGCGCTGGTGCGTACGAGACAAAGACAATGGGACAGAGGTGTTTGTCCTCTTTTCTCACCCTGCTGGCTGTGAATCAGCAGCCAGACAACATTCCTGCTAACTGTCAGTCTGTCCCAGTGCAACTCTCTCAATCTCCTTCTCATTCACATGTTCTGTCTCTCTGTCAGTGTCAGGCAGCAGCTGCAGCAGAAGTGTATTCAGTATGTTATTAGTCAAGTCACTGCTTGGGGGCGTGGCCTTCCTCTGTACATCTGCTCCTCCTCCAACTGAAGCATGAAAATTAGAGCAAGCAACTCCCTCTTTTATCTTGCTCAGTCTTTTCTTAAGTCTACCTCTATCTCCAGAAATGACGAGTATATATGATGAAGAGGAACAGTTTAAAAGAAGAGGAGGAGAGGAGTTTATATTCGTCTTCTTCCGCATTAACTTTTCTGACATCAATCATCTGTTCTGAAGCAGAGGACAATGGGCAGAAAGAGGACAGGACACACATGTGCATGGACTGCTGCACTATCATCACAGAACGGGAAATTTGAGCACCCGAGTTAGACTACTCCATTTTTCTTGTCCTCAGTAGGAGGCATTAAAAGATAGATGTGTTATTTTCTTTAGCTCCCTCCCCCTCATTCTCTATTCATGTAGAATCATACGTGTTAAATATTCTTGCTAGGAAAAAACATGCAATCTTTGCCTGAATCTGTCCCTGGTTTGACAATATAGATTTAATTTTTTATCAAACTAAATCTTCAGTATTATATTTTACACAATGTCATAGTAATGTCATGTCCCATTCTGCTATTACTGTGTGTAAGAACCCAAAAGTATACTGTTTACAATACAAGCAAACACTTAACATATACATACTGCTGAATGCAAAGCCTTTTAGAGTATAATGCACAGCATGTGCAAACACAGAAGCTTAGAATGTGCACTAAAAACTCATCTTTATACAGTGTTCACACAATTTTTCTAAAGATTTGAGTGTTAAAACCAAGCGGCAACCTCCCCGTCTCTCTCTTGAAGCCAATACGGAAGTGAATTAAACTGCAATTTATCGAGTGGCCGCTTGAGGCAGGCTGCAGAAGCGAGTCAAATCTGTATCTCCCCCATGTTAAAATGCCCAAATTTACAGCAGAAAAAAACATGTTTACAGCCTGGAGCAAAAAGTGGCTTTGGTCTATTGAGCTCATTTTTCCCTTCATGACAACTGTGAGGGGGGTGAATTTTTTTACAACTCATCTGTTTAAATTATATTTAAGCCTTAAAGTTCTGCATAATTAAGGGCGTGGCCACTTGAGTGACAGGTGGATTCATGCTGCCGCTTTCACTGCTAATCGTAGTCTGCTGTCTGTTAGCGTCACCCTCAGCTGTGTTTCTGCTTTTCCGGGATTATTTCATACAATTTAATACATGTATTATACCTTCGCCCGTGCACGCCGTTGGATTCCGTCGTGTTGCGTATGGAGAGATCGACCTGCGCCGTGTTTCCAGCTGTTTCCCTCGCATGCACTAATGGATGTCTGATGATTTCAGCGCGTTCTCTCCGTCCATGCAATAGATGCACACCCTTGAATGAGCGCGGATTTCTAGTTCATTTACTTGAAGTTCTGAGGTAATATTTGGTTTGACCCATCTGAGAGGCGGCCAAAATCGGATTGTAAAATGGACTGAATTAAAGCTCTTTACGAACTTGACGTGAGATGCCGACTGACATGTGTGCTTGCCTTGAATCACTGTCACATGCACAAGCTTAGAGCAATATTGTAAGTTATACATTTTAACTAGCAGAATAATAATGCATCACAATGCACATAGTTGACTGCTTGTATGTTGTGAGAAATGTGTGATCTGTGTTAATATGCTCTTAACTAATTGCCCCTTGTGAGATTAATAAAGTTGATAAAAAAAGTAAAGTAGTCTCACTTTTAGTTACGTCTTAACTATTATAATATTTCGAAGGGAAAAACATTAACTTTAACCATTGGCTTTACTTTTTCAATCAGCTGTCAATTCAGCGACAGTAGCATAGCATTAGCACCTGCAGCTCCACCCGCGTCCCGCCTCTTTGCCCATTTTAATTTATCCGGTAGTGACGAGAGGTGACGCACTGCCAAGATGGCGACGGTCGGCCCCGCCCACTTTAGGCCTCAAAATCGCTCTTCAGAAACCTATGGGTGACGTCACGGACACTACGTCCATATTTTTTACAGTCTATGGTTAAAACATGTCTTTGTTCTTGTTTAAATTACAGTGGGGGGTGTCTCTTGACCCTGTCACAACAATTGACCTATGACTAAGCCAAGCCCCCTCAGGCGCAATGGCAGCGGTCACAGTAGTAGACATTTCACAGGCAATTGGTGATTTTTGGAGACAGAAAGATTATACATCATCCCGAAGTCACCTAAAGGTAGGGTTGGGAACCGAGAACCGGTTCTTTTCCAGAACCGGTTGTGTTTTTGAAAAAATACCGGAACCGTGCAAAATTCCTAAGTTTCGGTTCCGAAAACGGTTCTGATGCCGATGCGATATCATTATGTGGGCGAAGTGCTGGGAGTAGAAGACGCCGTCTTATTCCTAAATGACAAAAACTTCACCACTGAAGTTGCGATTTGCTCTCACACGCGCTGCATTTGTCACACACAGACACACGCACGCTGCGCGCGCCGACCGCCGAGTCACTCTCTAGCCTACATTCAAATCTGTTTGCGCTGAGAGAGAGAGAGCAGTTGTCGATATGAAACTGCTTTACAATCACACAGTCTCAATATTTATTTGTTTCACATATTCAAATGATTTCCGTTACAGAATTAGTGAGATTATAGTTTGAGTAAACATTGACGGTAGTGGTCAAAACAGATGCAGTCCGTATATTTTTTGTGTTCAGAATTTACAAAATATATACAATGAGCGAGTACATCATAATTTTTTTTTTCAAACCGTGTTTTTGTCTTATCTTGAATCACTACGTAAAGCCTGTAATAAGCGTTAATACTCGGACTTCTTGTTTAGACTGGCCGGCGGATCGCAGCTGCTGCGGAGTAGCCCAATGCCTGCGTGACTCGTCATGGACATAAACAGAGAGAAGTAGCTCCGGCAACAATGTTCTTCCGCAAGACGCATGCAGTTCTGTTTATTAACTGCTAGAGCGCCGATTTATCCAGTAATGAAATAAGTAAAGTCTTTATGAATCAATCATTCAAACCGTTTTAAAAAATAATCTGTTCTACACACATATGTGTGTTAAAGCATATTCTACTCCTTCTGAGAGGGTATTCTTCACTGTTGGAGATACAATAAAGGAGAGGTCTAAATTATTATAGAGAATGCAGATTTTTTTAATTTCCTTTATATATATATATATATATATATATATTTTTTTTTTTTTTTTGCAAAGATTGCTTAATAATATTTTGAGTTTGTTTACATTACCAGTCTGATAAACTAATTTGTCAAGTACTATAAGAAATAAACACAAAAAGGATTGTGGATTTTTCTCTTACTAATATTTTTAATTAAATGGGAACCGGAACCGGAACCGGAATCGTTTGGCGGAACCGGAATCGGAACCGGAACCGGAAAATTTCTCACGATTCCCAACCCTACCTAAAGGGCCTTAAAGGTTCATTCCACCTCTGGAAAGATGAATGTGTATTAAAAATGGGTAATTTATGTAGAAGAAATGTGAAATTATTTTCGAATTTATAGCTTTCTAGACTGAGAAAAGACAGATGAAAGACACTAACTCCCAGAAGCCCTTGCTTCGCTGCCCTAGGAGGCCACGCCTACCGGCAAACGTGCAGTAGGTAAACAACAAGTCTAGGCTAGTGAGTCTCCGTTATGCGTCTGCCTGAAAATGCGTTTCGAGATCGCCCAAAATGTCCGGGATTCGGGTTTTTTGTTCTACAGTCTTTATTCACCATGTTTACTGTGGCGAGCGGGACGAGTGAGGGCCGTGTGGACTGGAAAACGGTCGAGTCATGTTTACTGTGGCGAGCGGGATGAGTGAGGGCCGTGTGGACTGGAGAACGGTCAAGTCATGTTTACTGTGGCGAGCGGGATGAGTGAGGGCCGTGTGGACTGGAGAACGGTCTGTGGCGAGCGGGATGAGTGAGGGCAGTGTGGACTGGAGAACGGCGCGAGTCATGTTTACTGTGGCGAGCGGGACAAATGAGGGCCGTGTGGAGTGGAGAACGGTCGATTCACATCAACTGATCACTTGTTTAGAGTTCATGTAAACACTACATTCAGATTCAGCAATCAGAACGAATTCAGTTAGATTTCAGTTATAAACAAAAGCTGTAACTTACATGAAAACAATGCATGGCGACTGCAGAAAGCAAAAGCTGAATCCCGGACATCGACGGCCGGACATATCCGGGAAAAAGAGGATGGTAACACCTACTCAGTTACTACTCAGCTTTCTCCACAGAACAACAGCCTGCTAGCTTAGCTTTCAAAAAAGATGTGTAATCCCAATCCTCCATAATGCATCCGTCTGCATATTCAGTACCTTCGTCCATATTTTCAAACCGTTTCTGCGGTGAAATCAGATGTACTGGCACTGATCTGTGATTGGTCTGTTAGCGAATTAGGTCCAACCCCCTATGGGCAGGTTTGAAAGGGTGGGATCTAGTGCTTGTAGTTTTTCCAGAAATCCCCCTCTCTTACACTTCCTCCAACAATGACGTAAAATGACGATTTTTGCGTCATTGTAGGAGGAAGTGAAAAAGGAAAATAGCAGATTTCTCTCATCTCAGGGGAAAATGAGAGAGTGTTGCACGACCATTCAATAGTATAACTGGGTTTCTAATAGGGCTGGGGTAAACGATTATTAACTAAACGATTAGTTGGGCGATTATTTTATCGATTAGTCGACTAATCTAATGACTAATCGGACGACTAATATAAAGAATATTTTTTCTGCTGCTCAATTAATAAAAAAACAATATCTCAAATAAATACTAGCATACTGAATCAAGATACTATAAGCTGGCTAACGTTAGTCTAATGTTATGTATTTGAACACCATCATTATAACTCTAAAACCGCCAAAACCGTGTTATTAAAATATTTTTTACAAACATTTTTTTATCATAGAGACTGTTTAAATATTAATATCAGCTGAGGAGGGAAACGGAGGCGGAGTTAGTGGTGCGATCGGAGGCTGCTACTGCTGGAGATGAATCTGG